AGGGAAAGACCTGAGAGTGCATCAGAAACCAGTTTGTTTATCAAAATAAAGCACAGTGTGACCTGAATTCTAATAGACTAGGGTAAGATTATGCATTTGAAGATGGATATTGGACTTCAAAAGAAAGTCTAACCATGTTCATGAAAAATTGCAATGCTAAAACAATAACCATTTTATATAATTAGTGAGAGCTAAATTCATCTATAATTGTTCAAATTTTCATCCATCCCCCTTCTTTTTCTTGAACTGTTTTCAAGTTTTATTGAAGTTGGTCCATTTACTAATTAATTAATTAATTAATTAATTGCTAAATAAATTGTACCCTGCAAGCTGCAACCATTGTGCCATGATAATCCAGCAATAGAAGGTCACACCTTTAAACATTGAAAATCGAAAATCGAAATCGAAAAACCCAACTAAATCAACAAGAAGCATGACAAATCACATTAACAAAAAAACCCAAGAATCCAAATCAACCCACAATTCAGAAAGGAAAAAACAGAATTATGAAGGATTGAGAAAAGAGGAAGGCAAAGATACCAGAGCAAGTCTTTTGGGTGGTGAGCTTGTAGATGAGGACGATGATCCCAAGCACATGCACAACCTCAGAGGCAACGAAGAAGTATTTGTGATCCCTCACCCAAAACCTCAATGCAAGCAAAGCACAGAGAGCAAGCAAGGCTCCAAGAAAGACCTTGACTTTCATTGACTGGCTCCTCACCCATTGAAACAGCACATTCACAGGCGAGCTCCTCCTCCTCCCCATGGTATCAGCCAAGACTGCTCTGCACCTGATCGATCCCTCTAGAGAAAGAAACCAGATTGATATTGAAAGAGAAACAGAGAAACAAACGATGAAACAAAAACTATGTTTGTGTTTTTTTCCTATGTGTTGTTAGAGGTAAAGAGTGAGCGTTTTGATGGGCAATTGGGCATGCAGTTAGTCTCCGATGCTAGGTGGCATTTATGTTGTTTCCATTCTGGGGACCAATTAGGAAAGAACACGTCAAATATCAGTTTAAGGAGGAAATATTATATTGGATCCCGAAGTTAATGCTTTCCTTTTTGGTTCTCTTGGATTTGGGTATGTAATCATCCTCGGAGTTGACCCCTTTGATGACTTTCTTATTGGTTTGTAAAAGGAGTCAATGACGCAACAACACAAATAGAAGGAAGGAAAAGACTCCTTCTTGGGCTGGAAAAGGATTAGAGGATTTATTTCTAAAAAGAGAAGGAAAAAAACCTACTTAATTTAGAAAAAAGATATGATAAAAATTAAACTCTCGACCGTTGAAACTAATTGCTCTACCGTTGAAACTACAAATTCCCCTGAACTAAACTCTTATACAAAAATGAGCAGGTAAGCAATCAATCTTTCTTTTTTTGTGTGAATGTTACTTGGTTTCAAGAATGCTAAGTAACTTACACTAGAGTAGCGGTTTGAAGCAATTGCTCCTCTAAACAAGGTCTTGGGTTTGAGTCCAAGCATATATGTAGCGTGTGTGAAAAACTCCTAAAAAATATGTTAAAATGTTAAGTTTGGTGGGGGCATCTTAGCGTCCAAAGTCAAAACATCGTAGGTATATTAGCGTGACTTTTCATCTTTTTATATGGCTATTTTGCTTCTTGTTGTTGTTGGGTATCTCTTTTATATGTTCAATCAAATTTTGGATTAATTTTGAAATTATTGCAAATGGAATTTGGATTGTTCCACGCATATATCAATTGATAAGAAGCATTTTGTTCCTTAAGAATAATAGATATTCATAAATTACTAGTGATGCATGTATTTATGTATAAATATTCAAATCCTCACTTACCTCTCATTAATAAAAAGAAAAAAAGAAGGAAAAACCATTACTTTATTTCCTCATCTCATAAACTAGCAAAGTACCAAATGCAATTCACTACCTATCTTCATAAAATTCAAAGGGCAACCTTGGGGTTAAGATAACTTCAAGGGAAGTTGCCTTTGGCATGGTAATGCCTAGCCCTTCAGTCAAGTCCACAGGCATGTCCAAAGGTGTTGCCAATTCAAACCCTTGAAGCAAGCGTCCAAGTGTCAAATGGGTAACTTGCAATGCAAATGTGGCACCTGGACAAGACCTTCTTCCAGACCCAAATGGGATAAACTCAAAATGTTTACCAGAGGCATCAATTCCTACATGGGTTGTGAGAAATCTCTCCGGGCAGAACACTTCAGGGTCTGGCCACAAACTTGGGTCTCTATGCAATTTCCACAGATTCACAAACAAACGGGTGCCTTTTGGGATGTCAAAGCCACAAACTTGACAGTCTTGCATTGCTTCATGAGGCACTGAGAGTGGGCCTGGTGGGTAGAGGCGCAGTGTTTCTTTGACCATGGCTTGGAGGTAAGGTAGGTTTTCGATATCAGTGTCTTCAATCCATCTGTCCCTGCCAACTTTGAGGTCTAGCTCTTCTTGGGCAAGCTTCAAAACATGCCTATTGTTTAACAGTAAAGAGAGGATCCATATCAAGTTGATTGCTGTGGTTTCTGAACCAGCTAGAATAAGATTCTGCAACATGAAAAGTTGAAAATTGTGAACAACAAACAATCTAGAGTGTTGCAATTTGCAAAATATACAGCCCTTGACCCTAAAAAATGTTGAAGAATATAAGTTTCATATCAGAAACTTGACTAAATAAAATATAAGATATAATGAATGGTTGCACTACTAATATCACTGAGGCCTTTAGTGATAAAACTTCACACCTATTGGACTTTGTAAGGGGTTAAGTTGGGGACAATACCGGTGTTGTTAGTAGTGGACCGTTGGCCCGTCTTTCTGAATTTAACAAAAAATTCAACAAGTTGGAAACTTTTGTGTACTTTTAAAAGATAGAAACTTTTGTGTACTTTTAAAAGATAGTCTAGCTGTTCTTTAATTTGATGAACTTTTACATTCCTTTTTCTTGTAAAAAAATAGTTTATTGCTCTGTTTTGGGTAGTTTTGAGCTATCAATCACTTGAAAATAAAAAAGACGAAAATTTTACTGAAAAAACAATGAGAAACATTAATAGATTTACCGCCACAGATGTTAAAAATCACGAGTAACTGTGGTTTTTTTCATATGATTAGGCATATAAACATACCAATGATGTTGCCTTGATGATCGTTTCACGCGTATAGCCAAGCGTGGAATTGTCCTCAATCACAGATATCATGACATCAATGAAGTCATGGTCGTCCCTTGAGTCAGTCTGTTTCTTTGCATAATGTTCTTCTACCCAACTTCCCATGACAGAATCTAACTCCTTCATAATACGCTTCATAGCTTTAATTTGCCCCTTAAAATCAATCCAACTTGGAAAACCAATTACATCAGAAGCAACTGGATTTCCTGACACATACATAAACTCCTTCACAATTTTCCCAAACCTTTGCTCGTCTCCCTCATATGAGCTATCAAAATATCTTTTCCCAGCAATCATTCTAGTAATTACATTCAAAGTTAAGTGCTCAATCCAATCACTGATCACGACCTTGGTTGGATTTAGACCGTTGTGCTCTTCTGTTTTGCAAAGCAAAAACAACCCTTTAATGAAAGCATCAACCTCAGAAATTTGGACATGTTTTAAATTCTGAAGCCTGCGGCTAGAGAGCAACTCAACCATGACCATTTTTCTCATGTCACGCCAGTATGGGCCATATGGTGAGAACCCAAATCCTGCATAGTTGTAGCCAAGGTACTTGCCGTGTGAGGACCTTGGTCTAGTTGCAAAAACTGTGTCGTTTTTGGTGAAGCATTGCTTGACTGCATCATAGTTGCTGATCACAAGTACAGGGTGCTTGCCAAGCCATATGGTGAAGATAGGGCCATACTTGTCAGCCATGGCTGCTAAGGTTTTGAAAATTGGGCCACGTAGCTTGTGGAGGTGGCCTATGATTGGCAAGGCACCTGATGGTTGTGGGGCCAACATGCCCTTGATTTTGTGGCTCTGGATCCTCAGCCTCCATAGATACAGAACCAAGACCAAAAGACCTGCAATTGCTAGCGGATGAGAAAGAAAATCCATGAGGGATGGCTGGCTATGGTGACAAAAGTGAACTTCCAATTAATCTATGGTTTGTTGGTGGTAAAAGCTGTGTTCTCATGGACAAGGAAAGATGACATGTTGGGCCACTAGCCACTCAAATTCAAGGATATATTTGAATGGTTAATGCTTCTTCATTGACTAAGGTTTTGGGATTGATATTTGGTTTTCACCAAGGACGTACGACCTTCCAATGCACGTGGGTTGAAAAATTTGAGTTGGATAATGTTGTTAATTCTTTCTTCTGCTTGCAAGATTTGAGTACCTGGATACAATTATAATATGCAACTCATATCATTAAAAAATGGCATATATTTAATATCGGGTTAATTTTAGTTTGATATCCTAAACTCTCAATTTTAACAATAAAACACATTATATTTGTAAATTTTTTGTAATGTAAGAATTAATTAAGTGATGATGTGATATATATGAGACCCATGTTTTAAAACTTAAATTGATTAAAATATAAATAAAACATTAAAACCAATTTTTTTAAAAAAAGAAAAAGATTAAAAAACAAACTAAAACGATTATTGTAAAAAATATCGAACCCTTCTCTCACAACACACTTGGATCTGGATCATTGACTTGGATTTTGTCATGATATGCTTGTCTTTTACTCTCCACATGCCACCTCATTTAAATTTCATTCGAAAGCTTGAAAGTTGACACATACATTAGAAAAAAGAACAAAAATAATTGTCTCAACAATATTTCACACTCCTTAATAGTCCAACAGTGATTACTAACTCTACGAGTTCAACGTCAAGCCTGCAACTTCCTTGTCTTTCAGGGCTCACAAGAAACTTGATTGAAAGACAAAGACAATACAACCACCAACAAGAACAAACGCATCAAGCAAACGACAAGAGGAGATAAGAATAACCAGAGGGAACCAACCAAATCTCTCATTATCAAGGGAAGAAAAGTCCAATCTTACAACCAGAGGGAATCGTCCCTATGTAAACACCACCTCATCACTGTCTCTTTTCATCCAATATCATAATCAATTCTTGCCAATCCTCAAAATCCAATCTTACAACTACTTTAGGGAATTAGTTTAATCGAAGGGGTAGAATAAGTTATTGGGCAGAAAGAAGACATTGAAAAGCAAAAAATGAAAAGAAAAAAATATGAAGAAGAAAACAGAAGGGAGGCTGCAGAAGATGGGTAACGTTATAGATTTTTTTTTACTTACTTTTTTATTTAAGTTTTAAGCAAATTGTTGTTTTTTTTTCTTCTAATAAAAAGTTAGTGATGTGTCAACTCTCAAATCCCTTGGATGAAATTTAAATGAGGTGGCACATGGAGAGTAAAAGTCAAGCAAATCATGGCATTAAAAATCCAAGTAAAGGATCCAGAATCCCTCTGCTCATAGGTGTATGATGCATAACTAAACAATGGTATGAGAGGATGAGAATATCATTCCTCTTTGCGAAACCACTAGATCAAGGACGCAAAACGAAGAAGACCCAAATTAATTGAAGTCATTCTAAAGAGAAATAAAAGGTCAAAAATTACACCAACCACGATCGCCATCTCCCCACCCAAAATGCAGAAAACCCAAATTCATCGAACAGCAAAAGAAACATAACAAATGTGTCATACCACCAGCTCCATTGCCTTCGCAATAGCTAATGTATCGAAAATATCGAACCCAAGTTTTTCCAAATAGAGCGTAAGAAGAGAGGTTTTCTGGTTTCAATATTTCATTAATTCTATGAATAGTACAGCAGAATTCATACAAAGGGAAGGCCTGCTAATCAAGCTCTGTATTAATTACAATAAGCAGCAGTGGCAGCACAATAGGTAGTTGGTTCGGGGCAGCTTGTGCAGCTGGTGCAATTAATCATATTTTCCCAAGTGAGAGCTGGTTGAATAGTTGATCAGCCACTAACTAGGAGTGGTAGGTGGTGGTGTTTCTTTATT